ACCTGGAGCGAGATGATCCGGAGCAAAAGGGGACCCAGAACGAAAAAAGGATGATCTTCCAAAGGGTCCTCACTTATATACTGGGCATGAAGTGTATGTTATGGAATAGATTATTGGCCACTCTGGGTCTCAATCCTGAACTTAAGATCAAATCCTAGGCTAGTAACTGGGGCTGTGCTCCCTCCCAGCTCGTCTGGTCTGCAGCCAGACAGAGAAGCTGAAAGACCTCAGCAGCCACGTGAACATCACTTTTTATCAGCTTTCTTCTGAGCACAAATCCAAAACACAGCCTCTTGCTAGCTATTATGAAGAAAGTTAACTCTGTCTCAGCTTAACCCAGGACACACACCCTGAATTCTGCTATGAAAGCAGCAATTATTATTATACTTTTGTAAAATAGCTTGCTTTTTTTATGGAAGGGTGTTGCAAACAGCTGAATAGTCTTCATCCTTACATCTAGCCTTGTCTGGGAACAGTGACTTTGAGTTACCCTTACTCAGTGTCTCTTCTCTATTGCAAATAGTTACCATCCACAGTGACAGGCTGCAACTGGTCACTTACTGCTGCTTAGGACAAAAGACTTGCCACCACTTTTCCAAGGAAGCAGTCTTACACACTTCCTTCTGTGCTGCTTGTATAGAGGACAGCCTTGACATGAAGAATTATTGCTGTTTAGCATTTGTTACCCTTGTCCTGAAATAAGAACTTAACTGAACCTCCTGCCTCTGAGCTGCTCCAGAAACGGGAAAGCACAGCTGTGGCCTACAACAGTAAACTCCTGACTGGTGAACATTTCTCACTGTTCTGAAATCTTTTTAATGTAAGTGCAATTTCTGCCTGCTTGGCAATGTAAGGCACAGTTATTCCAACATGTATGAATGAAATAGTTAGAACAAGCAAGGAGGGTAGTGCTTTCTGCCACGCTCTTGCTTGTAATTAAGTTTCAAGATCAGGATCACCAGGAAATACTAAGAAAAAATTGTCTCAGAATGAAAAATGGGAATCTGCTTTATTGTACAACACCTGCCTAACAGGTAAGAAAAGGCTGTAAGTGCAAGTAAATCTTGAATAGGTTAACTTCAATTTCCTAGGCTTAATATTGGTAAAAAATAAAAGAGCTGTGCCCATTGGGACAGAAGGAGAAAAAAAACCTTCTTAGCTAATTAAGTGATTAAGTGCTAAAACCCTGTATTATGCACCTTGTGTGAATTGATCAATTTAAGTTTAGTTATGAGGAGTGGGCACAAACTTAAAATGTTTTATTTAAAGAGCATATACAGAGCAAAGAGCAGAAATTCTGTAGTAATTTGGTCTTGAAGACTTTGTCCAGTTAACCAAGATCCATTTTCTAGGTTTCCTGTCACAGGAATAAAAAAAAGAAATAATTGTAGAGTCACCCTTTACGTATCAGATTCAACACAGTCCTACTTCAAACAGACTTCCTGCCATTACAAGACTCTCGAGAGCTCTTTTCTCAATTCATAAGATGATATAAAAATACCTAGGTATACAACAGACAATCAGATGATACTCAGCTGCTTGACTGCTTCTCAAAAAAGGCTGGGAGCGAGGGCAGGCATCCCAGCAGTGATGTCCATCCTGAATAATGACACGTGACATTAATTCCTTTTGGACAGCAGGTGCTCAGGTAACACCCCAGTACAGCCTGTGCATGGAATCAAGATCCATAGTTTGCTTCATCAAAGGCCTTTCTGGCTCGTTTCAGTTCTTCATTCATGGTCAGGAGGTCTTTAACTCTGGCAAACTTCCGGGGGTCCTTGCGGATTAGAAAGACAATGTCCTCAACCTGTACACGACCCTGCCGTCCAATTGACATGGCCTTGTGTGTCTGTTAGAGGAAAAGACGAAGGTCAGCAAGATTCCTTTCCCCCTTAATTTTTATTAAGCTCTCAATTCCACTTTATTTCCTGTCATTTTATAATCAAAAAGTAACCAGCTGGAGTATCTGGGCACCATCATCCTAGTCACAAGAGAACTTCCCAGTAAACCATGGACTTACAGTCACTCCCCAGATGCCTGTCACTTATACCAGCACATACCACTATGTAGATGTTAAAGTAATGGCATCAAAACTAAAGCCAGATTACACGTAGGGGACACAACCTGCAGAGTTTGTGCAGATGAACAGCATCACGCAGAACTTGGAAGCAATGTGAGGTAACCATATCACACACAGGACAGTTCGTGCATTTTGATGAGGAGGGCAAGGCCAACCTTTCAAAAGAAAGGGAATCCACAAACAGCAGGAATATCTTTTTTCAAAAAACAAAACAGTATCCAAGTGTCTGGAAGAGTGATAGCTTCAGGCCCCAGAAGGCTGCATTTCTTTTGTAGCTTAGAGCTACATGCTCATCTGTGTAAAGGCACTGGGAGAACACAAAAAGTCAAGAAATTTTCCACAGTTGAGCCTTATCTTTTGTCAGCTGCACATACAGTGATGCCACAGTGAACCCCAAAGTCAGCTGTGTAGTTCCACCCCCCCCAATACTCCTCTAACTGTTACTTAAGGACTTCAGACACTTCTAAATCCACATGGAGCAAGATGCATGAATTTTGCCTTAATCTTTGAAGAGCAAATAAGTTTAGCTTTTTCCTGCTAGCATGCGAGTTTTGGGTCTGGGATAATGCAGCATGAGAGTCAGAGGTATTAACCTTCAGAAGACTAAAGTCTTAGTGAGGATGTTTTGACCACGCTGTCTAGAGCTGACTTACCATTTCTGTGATAAACTCTATAACCAGGTCCTCAAGAATGTCCACCGATTCTGTGTAAGGGTTCTGGTCATCCCCGAATCCATACATCATGCATCTTACTGCAGAAAGAAACACTCGGCATGAGGCTTCTATCATCCATTCAGCGCTGTCAGCAGCACGCATCTAGTGAGAGCTCACCAGCCTACACGTCTGTGTACCAGCGTGGCACTCTCCTCTGCTGGGCAGGACAAGTCTTGAGCAAACACGCAGGAAATAAGCAGGTAGACAGAAGCCAACACAAGCCTAGTGCTGTACATACAGAAACAAAGCATGTCTGATGACACGCTCTTTAAATAGGCATTTAGGCTACCGCGTACTGAACGCTGACTGACAGCGTGACTGACTGTTGGCACAGTTAGGCTCCGATGATGGATCACCAATATTTATTTGGGGGTCTACACGACAGCCTTCTGCACCTTCAGCCAGGGCACAGAATGAAAGCTGCCGCTTTGCTCAGGAAAACTGAGTTCTGGAACTCTACAGCTGCCTCCTCAGAGCTTCAGCTGCGTTTGGGGGAAGGACGTGGTCCTTAAACGCCGCAGTGAGCCCTGCACCGAGTGACCCGTCGGCAGGGGCAGGGGGTTCTGGCCCGGCCCCACTCACGTTCTTT